CGTCTTTCTGCAGAGACGTGCTGACGCTTGGCTGGCCGATGCTCTGCGGAGGAGAACTCGCCAGACCTCAAGCAGGGAATTTGTAGGGTTTCGTTGGTACAAGAGACCAGTGCCCAGTGTTGATCCATTTATGAATTTCAGGTGTTGACCCACACCCGGCTTGGGAACGGCAGGTGGATGACCCCTGAAAACATCCGGGAGATGTACACTGCAGTCAAGGCCGATCCTGATGGGAATGGTAAGAGCAGCTCCAGGGGAATCCCTTTGCCCTAAGCACGCTGGACACCTCACACAGCCATGCAGGGCAGAGCAAGAGCCATGTCCCTGCCCAGGCCTGTTCCTCTAGCTGTGTTCTTCAAAGGAAAATGACACTGCTTTAGAGACCTTTGCAGAAAAGTAAAATCAGTGTAAACTCTCATCGCCGGACTCCTGCCCCTTCATCCCCAGTCTAGCAGCAGACTAGTTTCACCGCCTGGGATCGGATCTTGCCGAAGCAGGACCAGAACATAGCTCTGCGCTCCCTCTGCCCTGTCCAACCTGCCTTGGTTCGTGCCCCACTGTCACAGGGTGCGCATCTGCTCCCGTGGTCTGAGACTGCTCTGGCTCTGACTACGTAGCTCTTGTTAACTGGGCTGCAGGTTTTAAGGTGCACCTTTCCCTTCCTCCCTGTTTTTAGGGAGACTTCTGCAGCGGGCTGGCAGCACCGCACCACTGACAGGGAGGGCAGAACAAGCAGAGGTGAGGGTGGTCTTATTAGTCGGACGTTGTTGCTGACCCCTCTCTTTGCCGCTGCAAACTCTCCGTATTCCATGAGGCCACTTCTGCCCCTCCTGCCCCTGGTCTCCCAAGGGCTCCCGCTGGTCCGGAATTGCACTCTAACTTCTGCTGCTCTAATTAGAGTGGCCTCAATTAAGCAACTCTCCATTTCCTAATCAAATTAAGTGAACGCACAGGCTCTGTCTTCCAGTGACCTGGCATTGAGAGCTGCCCAGGAGGAGCCGCTTTGGAGTTGAAGCAGTACCCATGTGAATGCCTAAATATCCGGAGGGCACCCTGTGCCCTACTCCTCCAGGCCGATGGCATTCTTGGCAGGGGTAGGACTTTTCCACTGTTCCGGATATTAACAAATGAAAGGTCTTGTTAAAGTGCTCCTGGCAGAACCTTGCTTCCACAGAGCTGCTTCCCTTCTCGTTAGATTGGTACGTGACACCAAGAGACCAGGTCACAACCTGGATGTGGCACTGCGTCATCAAAGACTGCGTGGAGTAAGGGGAAATGGGGACAGGGAGACACTATGTGCTGGTTTGGGCTAGGCTAGAGTTAATTGTCTTCATAGTAGCTACTATGGGGCTATGTTTTGGATTTGTGCTGGAAATGGTGTTGATAACACAGGGATTTTTTTGTTATTGCTGAGCAGTGCTTACACAGAGTCAAGGCCTTTTTTGCTTCTCGCCCCACCTCACCAGCGAATGTCCCCCCACCACGACACGCTAGAAGTAATAACAGTGGATAATTTGGTCACAACCACTGGCACCTGAGGAGCTGGCCCAGGCTGGCCCTGGTGGCTGGTCCTTCCTCCTGCTGGAGGGTGCTGTGTGCCCAGGGAACAGAGCTGGCACCACACCAGCACTGGGTTTGTTGCCTGAGCGAGCTCCGCTCACAGCCCACGATGTCAGGCAGGACACTGCAGCGCTCTGCATGCTCTGGTCCCAGGGACCGAGTTCCCAGCACAGGGCTTCCTTCTTCTCCAGAAAGGGGAAACAACAAAGGTGAGGATTTTTCCGAAGGTGACAACAGCAAAAATCCATCCCTTGCTGAGTCTAGTTGAATCCAAACAAGAAATACCTGTTTTGGTAGAAACCACTTTTCACCTCTCGCTTTTCTGTTATTTCTACTTACACAGGCTCATGCTCTGTTGTATTTCTTGCTCATGTTTTGCAGTTACACAAATGCAGGTAGTTGTTGTTGTTTTGGGTTTGGCTTTTTTCAATGACCCTGCAAGGTCTTGTAGAAAATGTGGTCTGAGGTGTCCCACCTCTTAGAACTGTCTATTTAAATATCGAAGTAACAAGTCCCAAGGCATCAGGTGGTACAGGCTTTTTAGCTGTGGCATTGCATGTGTTAGAACTGTAACTTCTCTCTTCTGATGGATTAGTTTGTGTGTTTTAGGAGCTTTTTTAAAGTTCAAACTGGTATTTTGCCTGTCCCAGTTCTGACTCTGCATGGCAGCTAACAGGTCACCTTTGCAGATTACTGTGTACCCTCTGCTCAGCTAAAGGTGAGAGCGCTGCTGGGGTCTGCAAGGCGGCATGTACAGGGTGCAGCCCGTGGTGGGCACAGTGGTGGACCCTGAATGGCCTTTGTTTGAGGAAGGCAATTTCTGCAGTGCCCTCAGCTGGTGGTTTCTCCGAGTACAGGACAAGAACTACTACCTGCACTGGAGTCAGCCAGCTTTTCCTCTTTTCCCGTAGGTGTGCTGAGTTTGGAGGAGTTCAAACAATTGAATATCCGTGATTTCCACAAGTACATGGGAAGCCAGAAAGTGAAGATGAGTGACTTGGTGCGCAACAGCCAGCACACCTGGCTGTACCAGGGCGAGGGGGCACACCAGGTCATGAGAGCCATACGGCAAAGGTAAGGGCCAGGCAGCCAAGCGGTTGGATTTGTGTAGGCACGAGGACCACCTGTGCTGGGAGAGGCAGTGGCAGACTTGCTAATATTCACACTTCCTAATTGTGTGAAAGTCTTCGGAGTATAAAGAGCAATGAACACAGACACAAAATGGGGAGAGGAGGTTTTCATTAGAACAAAAATTTGTATTGTCCCGTGGAAAAGGAAAAAGAAAAATCAAACCTTTCAGCATCTCCATTCACTTTTGGGAACAGCCCTGTAAAACCAAGAAGACTTGGCATATATGAAATAATTCATTCTAATTAGTAAATGAGCTTACTGGGAGAAACTGCCTGTTTCCAATGCTGTCTGGGTGCCAGTAGTTACTGTCATTTGCTGTAGTTACTCATGCATTTCACTGAAATCTGTCTTAGCTGTTCAGAGCTGACTTTTTACCAGGCACGACTTCATCTCAAGTGAGCCGAGTTAGTTCAGTGCTCCCAGCACAAGTATTGCGGGGCAGCTCACAGCAGAAGAAGGAGAACCTCTTACCTTTCCCTTCATTGCGTTGAAACACAGCACACAGGCCAAATCATTTAGCTGTGGTGAGTTTCAGCTAATTGGCTGGAGACTCTCTTGTTCTTGTGGCGCTGGTCCTCTCCCAGAATGTGGGTGGGTAAAATCTGTCCTAAGGCTTGAAAGTGGCTGTTGGCCACTCCTTTTTTTTCAGAGCATTCCAGTGGGAGAATGGGGTCACATATTGCCTTGATTAGAGCAGACTGTGGCTGCCACCTTCTCCATGCCAGCTAGCCAGCGCACACAGGCATGGGCTTTTACGCTCTTCAGTTGGCCACTGTTACAAGCCCTCTGCAGACGTGAAGATGTAGCGCTGAAGGAGGCTGTTGGTCCTCCCTGGGACCGTGCAGTGCCTGGAGGGGCTTTGCCATCCTGCCTGGGTGCTGCATTCCCCTTGCACCTGCCCCGAGGGCTTCACTGGTCTGGATTCTCAGAGCTATGAGTGTTCTTTGGCAGGTCTCGAGAGGTACCTGCTTGCCTTGGGGATGATCTCAGATGTAGCAGCGGAAAAATCCCAGAGCAGGAGGGCTGAAAAGGCAACAGGGAAAGGTGAGTTAGGTGACAAGAATATTCCTAGAGCTAGTCTCTCGTTCACTCTCAGCAGGGGCTCTGTGCTTTGCTAACTGTCCCCAAGGTCTGTAGGTGGTGTGCAGGAGTCCAGAGAAGCGGTGAGATGGCACATGGAGGCTCCAGGGACACACACAACAGGGATCTTGCTGAGCCAGCAAAGTCTTCCTGATAGCAGTCCTGCTGGAGATGCACTCTTTGGTTTTGGGTTTTTTCCTTAACCTTGACAAGAACTTTCTGAGCTGATGCTGATGGTCCAACAGATCTGTAAGGACCTAGTTATCTCTTGGCATGCTTGCTGCAGCCCATCCATCTCTCCGGTCTGTTGGGGAAGGGGGTTATCTTTCTCTGGATTTATTCAGTGCTTGGGAGTAGCGGCCGACGGGGATGATGGTGCTTTCCCCTCACCCACTCTGCTCTCCTCTTCCTCAGGGTGATGCGCCTGACTCGCTTGCCCCCTGAGATTGTGGAGCACAGCGAGCCCCTCCAGGTTGTGCGGTACGACCAAGGAGGGCACTACCATGCCCACATGGACAGTGGCCCCGTCTTCCCTGAGACTGCCTGCAGCCACACCAAGCTGGTTGCCAATGAAAGCGCTCCCTTTGAGACCTCGTGCAGGTAAGGTCTAACTTGGCACAGTCCGGAACGCATTAGGGAAGAGGTGTGGAGAGCCGTTTCGCCTCATCTCACGCAGAACTCAGTGCTCAGGTTGTGGGCTCGCAAACCAGCTCTGGAGATCGCTGGCATGAAGGGGTTCAAAGGGGCAGGTGGGAGAATCCTGTGGGTCCACACAAGGAGGGCAGAGTGGTTCTGCAGAGCTGCTGGGCCATCCCCACCAGAGGCTAGAAACGCACTTTCACGGTAGTGGCTGGGGATTTCTTTTTTGTCCTTGTCTTGTCCTTGGAGAAAAGCTGATGATGTAAATCATGGATCTTGTGATGTCTTGGAGGAACCACTGTATGTATGGTGGAGGGGCAGGATACGGACAGCCCCTCCTCTTCCAGTTGTGTCCCCTCACAGCCACTCTGTCTTGCAGGTATGTGACGGTGCTGTTCTACCTGAACAACGTGACTGGAGGAGGCGAAACAGTCTTTCCTATAGCTGATAACAGGACGTATGAAGAGATGGTAAATGAATCTCACCTGCGTGTTACCCCTGGGGATCTCGAGTCCCTCTTTGAATGTCATTATTCTCTGTGGCTGCAGAAGGGGTCCGGTGCATGAGGCTGGTGGATGTCAGCCTGCGTAGCTGGAGCATGGGGAAGCTGTGCTCTGCTTACCGTCTTCTCCCTCTGAGGCCAAGGGAAGGGGCGCAGGGCTCTGACAGCTGCAGGTCCCCCACACTCAGAGGTGTGAGGGGTGGTCTGTTGGCCCTGCTGCCATAACGCGGGTCCTTCTCGCTTCTACCTGGGCAGGTTTCCTCAGACAAAGTCTTGGCAGGTCTGTTGTGCTGCCATCAGGCAATGTGTTAAGGCATGGGCAGCTGCTCAGAAACAGGTCACGGACCTCCTGGGGGGCTGAAATCAGCTGCTCTGGGTGGGTTATGAAAGCCCTGCCCTGCCCAGCATCAGCCTCGAGCTGTGGGGCGTCCAGGCAAAGGGCAGGATGACAGCTGGCAGCAGAGGCAGCCCAGTGCGTGTGCTTCATTCCAGCCTTGTTTGCGACACCTTCTCTATGGTTTCTTGCCAGTCTTTGATCCAGAATGATGTTGACCTGCGTGATACTCGGAAAAACTGCGACAAGGGCAATTTGCGAGTGAAACCTCAGCAAGGCACTGCTGTCTTCTGGTACAACTACCTGTCAGACGGAGAAGGTAGGGGCTTGTTTCAGGACTCAGCTCTTGGGAGCAGTAGGACTGCAGGAGGCGACAGCCGTCTTCTTGCAGCGGGTGGGAGCTCAGAGAGGGCCAAAGAGTGGTAGCTGCCTGCTAGTGGGAACTGTGGAGTCTACTTGTCACCAGCTGGGTAGGAGCTTCCTGACTGTGAAAGGCCTTTGTTTACAGGCGGTAGGTCGGTGGTTCCTAGTGTCTTTAAGGGACAGGACTAGCTAGCAAACAAAAGACCTTGGCTGCACTAGCCATTGCCGACTGCCTCCCATCCTGCTGTGCGAGCTAAAACTCCTGCTGGAACTTGGTCTGCAATTCAAAATGTTTCACTGATGTGGTGTTGCCCAAAGGGGTGGGGAGGGGAGGTAGACAAAGGCACAGCCACCAGCTCTGCAGCACAGGGAGGCATGGCCCGCCCTGCGCAAGGCTCTGCTGTGCTTGGGGCCGAATCGTGCTTTATAGCTCGGCTGCAGCCTGATGGTATGTGTCCTTGGGGCTGTTCTTCTGATGAAAGGCAGCGTGGTTTTCCCTGACAGCCAGACTGGGGCATTGACATGAATCTTCCAGGCTGCTGGTGAGTATGACCCAGAGCGTTTCCATGGCGTATTTTGAGCAGCGGTGGAAGAAAGGAGTATAGCATCCAAGCTCCCCTGGGAGCATGTTTCCATCTCTAGAAAATCCACAGAGGAGGTCACAAGACCAGCGTTTGGGCTATTGGTCTTTGGGCTACTGATAATATCAAGGCCATCACTCTCCTGTAAGAAGATCCCTGTTATATTTTTATGAGCAAATTGTTCCTAAAGGGAAGGCAGCTGCGGATGCGAGCCTACCACAGAAAAACCATGGGACCTCCGTAAAGACAGGATAATTTAGGACTGCTGAAATGCAATCTCTAATATGACTGTGAGCCTCTGACTTCCGTGGGCCTTCCCCCCCATCTCTTCCATGCCAGCCGCCCCTTTTGGGAAGAGCTGAGAAAAACGGCAGTCATGATGCAGAATGCGAGAGCCCCTTGTGCTGAGTGGAGACATGGAGGCAACGAGCGTTGTGCACTCAGGGCGCCTGCCCTGGGGAGCTCCAAGTAGGGGCTAGGAGTGGGTAGTGTCGAGATGGAGGGGTGCCAGGAGGAGCCAACTCCCGTACGATGCGTCTGAGCTAAAATCCAAGCAGGCACTGTGGGCAGGA